TGCATCCCCAGGGCAGCAGGGCCGTGGGCTGCAGGCAGGGATGAGAGACAGACTTCATAGTGCGTGTCTCGCTCAGGAGGGGTTCACAGGCCTTGTCTAGTCTCTGTGTCGCTGTCTTAGTTGTCACTTTGCTGTTGTGTGTATGCTGATGAATAAACTCGGGGGTGTTTTTTTGTTAAAAGGCGCCAGAGAGCAGGCCCCGGGTCACTTCTTAGCTCTGCTGGGGACACATCTGGCCACAGGAGACAATGCAGCAGCCAGCCACTGAGCAGCAGGGATAGGGGAGGTGGGCACCGACTCACTTTGAGGCCCTGGGCTGATAGGGCTAACTCAAGAGGCCCCTCCCGCCTTGTCCCACCAACCCTTCCAGCATAGTCTGTACTGGCATTTGGTAGACCCACAGCCCAAGTCAGTGAGCCTGGGCCAGTGGCAGGTTTGTTATGGCAGTGCCTCAATTCCCCACCTGTAAAATGGGGGTAACAGCACTGCCCTGCCTTACAGGGTGGGTGTGAGGAAACGGGGGGGAGGCTCACCTGCACCAGTAATGCCATCCATGGGCAGCTTGTATAATAGGCGGGGGAAGGTATTGCCTTCCCAAACTGCCAACCTGGCCCCACCCACACGCCTACTATAGGTGTATTGGGGGGGAGGGGCGCGGAGTGGTGCCACCCCCCCCAGCGCGCCCCCCCCCCGAGTGCCCATCTGCCCTCCCCATGCTGGGGGGTGTGCGCACTGCCCTGCCTCCCCATAGTATGGTGGGGACAGGAGGCAGCTGGACTCCCATGGGGGGTGGGGCCTCAGCAGAAGGGGTGGGACTGGGGGCTTGCCTCTTCCAGCCCTACCTTTACCCACCACCGATGATGGCATCCACATAAAGACCAGCGCTAAACAGTGCCTGCCATACTACACCTGACTGCTTCTGGGGCCTGGCCTTCGGCACTGAGGGAGCCAGCTGCATCAAGTTACCCCAAAATATTTATTCCGGCTTTCAGTTCAGGCCCTACCTTAGGCTGGAATATGCTTTATGGGTCAACTAGTCCTTGGCTTAGCCATGCTGTCCATTTCCCCATCTGTATCTGTGCATGCGGCCCACCACCCACCACCTGAATGTAGGGAGCCTCACAAAAACACCTCAGCGGTAGAGCCATGCGGCAGCTAGGCAACCCGTCTCACAGAGCAGGCAAGGGGCTTGCCCAAGGCCATGGAGCGAGTCAGTGGCAGAAAGGGGCCTAGACTGCAAGTATTCCTGATTCCTGACCCTTGTGCCTTGCCCTAAATGTCACTGCCAAGCCCAGTTTACCAAGTCACTTCATTGGGACGTAGAGCACAATACATAATCACTCTCCCACCCGCAGCCTTCGCTAGGGTTGCCAGATGGTTGAAACAAAAATACCGAACACCCTCCCCCACAAAAAAATTGAGGAAAAAAAAGACTCCATTTTGTGCCGGCAGCCTTACAGAAGCAGGTCGGACAGCCTGCCTGGCCATGT